AATATGACGAACAAATTTATTGGGTTCAAACTAGCAGAGTTTTATTTCTATCCCTTCATTTAAATATATTTTTACACTAATTAAAATTTTTATTAATTAATAAATTAATTGTAATAGCTTTGCTCAAATTCAGAAATTTTGTTGGAGTGAGAAATGGGTATGTGGCCTCATTGAAGAAATTGTTTTTACTCACAAATAACCATTTTTCAACATAACTTGTCAATTTCTCTGAAATATTTATCATTACAATTTAATTATTTTTGAATACGTTAATTACATGACCCACTGTGCCAGAAAATTTCGGCTGATAATTAAAATTTTTAATTTTATTGATTTTTACTAATATTTCAACGGCCTCTTCTTTTATTTTATTTCAACATATATAAAAAGTTTATTTTTTCAAGAGATTTATTTCTTATTGGTCCATTATGTATTTTTTATTTTATTTAGGATTTAATTTTTTCCTTAGAAAATATCAGTGAATTTTCCGGAAACTGCTATCGCCAGTTCCAACAGCATAACACAATATAAAGCATAAGAGAAAAATTATCGCCGTCAGCGTTTTTCGGTGGCGAGAGATTTTTGATATGATATGTGTGTGGAGATGTGTGTGTGTGTAATAAAAACATAATACAAAGAACGAAGTTTTCGCGAAAATTCAGCGGCGGCTGCGGCGAGCGCAAATTATGCTCATCCGAGGGTAAAAAGTAATTAGAACCGGCGCATTCTCTTCTTTCTTTCTCTCTGCGTGTGTGTATGTGTAATAATCCCGACTGCATATACAATAAGAACGGAACGTGCGAGAGAGGGTGCGGATAGAGTAATTATTATCACACATTGTATGATGCTGTGCCGCGATGCACTCTCGCAGCCCGTTTGCTATATCATGGTGTGAGCTCGAGTATTGCACTCATTAACTTGCGAGAAGAAATTTATAAAAGTGTGCAAAATGCACGTAATTGCGCAGAGAAAAAAACGCATTCAACTAAATGTGGAGAGTAATCATTTAGGGTGTGAAATGGAAAAAGCTTAAAGCCGCTTGTATTTAAATATTTCACATAATTATACCAACTTTAATGAAACTTTATATAAATAGTTGCATCAAGTCGTCGTACGTGTAACAAATTCCAAATTCAGTTTTTTCTACCCAATAATGCCATTATTTACTAATAAATGTAAAGGGAAGGCGTTACATCAAACTGATTTGACTTATAAATTGAATGGAATTTATTTTTTAATTTTTTTTTTATTTTTTGCAATGAGGTTCGCCCGGCTTAAATTTGTCATGTTTTGACTTTTACGATAATTTGATAACAAAAAAATGGTCAAGTGACCTCCAGTTGCGCATAATAAGCAATAATTGTGAGCTTTTATTTATTTTTTTTTTTAAGAAGTTAACAAAAGAAATTGTATAACCAGTCGAGTTTTTTTTATCAGTCGTGCAGGTAAACTAATTTTAAGGCCCTGAAATGTCTCATCATGGTAAATTCATGTCAGTTGGGTCAAATTGGGTGGCGCCTTCTGTACCACCAATAAAGGGCACAGGCCGACAAGACTTTGTCTTGGCCTGACCCTAAAAAAAAAAAAAAAAAAAAAAAAAAAAAAAGTTTAATTTAAAATTACCGACATCAACATCATTCAATTTTTTTTATTTTAAATTTATTTTTCAAAAGAATAGAACAGCAGTGTAGAATCGTCTCTATTAGCTCGTGAAATGAATTTCTTAATTTTCTTCAATCTACACAATTCGCAACTCACACATACATAAAATTTATTTAAGTGTTAATTTTTTTGCGCAAAACTATCTTTTAAATGAAATAAAATATTATCAATTGGTATTTTATTATGAAATTGATTTTAAAAAATAATATTATATATTTTGAAAATTCAAAATTATATTAAATAAATTAGGTTTATGCTTAAAGTTAAAAATATTCCACTTATTAAAATAGCTATTAAATCTGTTTTTTTTTTTTATTAAATTACAATTTTTTTACATAGTGCACATCTAATTGCATAATTAATAGCCGTCAATGGCATTTCCAATGGTCGTCTCATATGAGTATAATATTCTTCGAGCTGCATTTTTCATTCTAGCACAATGAGCGGTGCGCGTTTTGTTATTTTTAATGGCAATCCATAATTTAATCACCATAGCCGGTGCACGCACGCCTCTTTCCGAACACAATGCAACTCGGTGTCACCGGCCATTTCTGTGCATAAATCAAGCAAAAGCCTTTGAACAAATTACGATAATTATTTCCAGCGAATAGACTTTCCTAACCACCGCGGTGTGCTGCGGGTGATGGATTATCACAGCAAACAAACAAGCGATCGTGCATTACCATTATATCCTTGCATATTAATAAATGATACCAAGTATTTGAAACTTGGAAAATATAATAATATAAAAGGATCGAAAAATATCGCCGATCGTTGATTAATTTTCTGTTGAGAAAAACCTGTTGGATGAGCTGTGATTAAATTTATGTGCATAAAACTGAATACATATAACCTCGAAAGAAAGTAAGACAGGGACTCTTTGAACGGCACAAACACCGTGGCTGCGGGGAAGATGAAAACTTTTGGAATTATACATGCGGGCGTTTATCATCGCAGGCTTCTATATCAGCAGCTGTGCCGCGCGCAGAAAGAGCGTCGCGAATAAAACTTATCGTGTTTTATGAAGTGTGCGCTGCTCCACTGGATTTATGTGAATAAAGTACAAAATGCTTATTAAGAGTTCCAAACTCTGATATCCTTTGATGATAATTAGTATGGCTCTGTATTTATCACAATAAAAAAATGTTGCGAATTAAAATTACTTTTAGAACATGAATTTTCTGGAGAAATCAATGCAATTATCAATTTTATGAATATACATTAATTTTTGGACACAATAATGATTTTTCTACTTTTACAGAACAAAAGACTCATTAAAACTAAACAATCATTTTCTATATTATTTTTATTTACGTGGATTATTATTCTCTGTAGGAGAAAAATACAACTTTGTCAGCTATGCCTATTAATTTGATAAATCGCAATGTTAGTAAAACACTGTTGTTACTCGGTCCTTAAAAAAATTATTTTAAAATATTCATATACTTTAATAATAATTAATTTTATCCTGTTTGTATTAAAATATACCATAATTTAAAGGTAATTTAATAATACTTTAAAAATTTATATAAATGTCCCAAAATAATTTAATTGTATAAAAATAAAAAATATGTACAATATTGTTAATTTAAAATGTCCATTAATAAATTTAAATAATTAAAAAAATTTATATTAATCTTTTACTAAAAGATTAAATTAAAAGCATATCATCCCGGTAGCATTTTTTACTTTTATTGTGGCTCGCATGAAGCGGGGGTGTAAACCGAGTGCATCGCCACACGAGTGGACGCGCGATAGGGTTGAAAGGCGCATGCCGGGGGTGCGTTTGAGTGGGCAGTGGCGACGCGGTTGGCCGGCACTGGTCACTCTCGGACCGTCTCCTTTTCGTGCGGTTGGCTGAGATGAGATGCGAGGGCTCACGTGGCGCGCCGAGGAGGATGGCGCTCGCGACCAGCCTGCGCGCCGCCAGCCAGCCAGCCGGACCACCCCCACCCCTGCCTGCCCCGTGCATGTGTGCGCCGCTACCCCTGCCGGCATATGCAACACACGAAACTACCCCTTCCATCCGGCCCGGTTCCCGCAGAGGGTGGCTAATTTTGGATTTCGAGCTGCGAAGACGAAGTAACTATTAAAATTTTTCCTTTAATTATTTTTAATTTTTGTCCACTTGAGAATTTTATATATTATGAAAAGGTTAAGAATTTTGTATGCCATAATTGGCATTATCAATAAAATGTATAAAATATAAATAATTTGCTTGCTACAATAAAACTGTGCAAGTAAACGATGTATTGATTTATAATATATAATTTACATGGGAATAAACATGAAAATGCATTGACTTTATTGAAAGGCAGAATAAATAATTATATCTTATTATTCAAATTTATTTAACAGGGTGTAAATTAGGCAATTATACTCTACTCTACACAGATGACGCTCTTGCTTTTTATTTTAATGAAAACACACAAAATCATGTCGTATTTGAGAAAATGATTATGAAATCCAGAGATCACCTCTCTTTTTTTTCATTTTTGATAAATATGCATTGTGAACTTTCATTAATGTAAACAAGAAATATTATGTATCTTTAAAAATTCACAATTATTTTGAATATTGAACCAAAATTAAATCAGCAACATTGAGAGCAAAACTTGTCATCTACGCTCATTTTTTTCGAACAATTTCATCTTTTGTTTTCCAGTTCATTTCCTTAAACGCAGGATTATTTTTTATCACATTATCACTCACTATTCTAAATGAGTTTGATTGCATTTAATGAATATGATGAAATTTTACAATCCATATATTTCGATTAATTTAATATTTAACATTTATAAATACCCAAAAGACTTAATCAACTTTTGAAATTCCATCTACTATACAAACGAAAACACATTGATTTAATAAAAGCTTTTTTTTATTGGAAAATCAAAAATATTTATTAGCGTTAAAATTTTTATGAGAATTTGAATCAGGAAATTGCAAAATTATTAATGAAAAAAATTAGTCTATAGAATATAAAATTAAATTAACTTGAAAAAAATTAAAATATGAAATAATAATTATGAAAATAAAGATGAACTAAACATTTTTTTATTAATTTAAATTAAATGCATATAAAGAATTTTAAAAAATTCGGACACAAGACGGTGTGCGTTAAGACAACTGAGGGGAAGTTGCAAGCACACGCACAACATCCACACACGGTTCTGGGGTAGGTGTTTTTTGTGTTCCGAGGGTGCTCTCCTCATGCGCGGTGGGGCCTGGCTCGGTCGCTAGCCACGCAGCACCGGTGGATAGGAGAGGCCTTGCTCGGCGCAGATCGCCCCTGCCGGCTCTTCTCTCTCTCTCTCTCCTGTAAGTTAGACAGTCGCTCGTTGTCGCCAGCGCCCGTGCTCGCCTGCCGGCCAGCCGAGTGGGATCAGTCAGTGTGGCCTGTGCGCTCCCCCAGTCCGAACGCACTGCGACCGCCGCTCTCGCGCTCGCTCGCGCCTTCCACCCGCACCTTCAACTGCTCATCACTCACACTTTAAGATGAAGAACAAAAGGAAAGGAAGCAAGTTCCGTCGCAGAAGCTGCGTGTAGAGTGACAGTGCCCGACACAAACTTGGATTTTGGTTTTCTCCGAAGACAACAACACTTGGTGCGCCAAATTTTTGAGACCAAACTGTGCTAAACAAAAATCAGTTCTGCGAAACGCATCGGACACTCTCTGCGGCGATTCGGCCAAAAGATGAGGATTAAAATGCCAGCTATGCGCATCGCGCAAGGTAAGGAAATTTTTTGCAATTTACTTGAAAATTTTAGCAAAGTGTCTTCGGAGAACTTTAGGAATTTTTATACTGATGCTGAAAAGGAGTTAAATGTATCAACGAGGAGAAATTTTAATACAAGTACAAAATTCAACAAAGTTGCAAATTTTTGCAAAAATTTTCAAGTATTATCAAAATTTTTGGCGGTCATAATGAGATGTTGGTTTTCTGGACTTAGAATATTCGGAGAATTTCGACTCGAATGTCAGAGTGCAATCAAATTTTAAAATGTTTCTAAAAGATTAAAATTAAATTTTTTTATAAAAATCAGCCTTTTTCTTCAAAATTTTGTTCTTTAGTTTACTTGAATTAAATTGATTTCAAATTTAAATGTAATTTACACTTGGGAAAATTTTTTATCCGTCTTGATTTTCCAATTTTATTTCTCTTCAAATCCGTTTGCGCCGTTCGCAAATATATCGCCGTCCTCCCACAGAGCGGAGAGGAGAGCCGACAAAAGTGCACTGCGCCTCACCGAGCAATCATTTTTTTTCCAACTTCCTTTCTAGAACTTTGTGCTCATCAGAGATTTTCAACATCTCAAACTTCTTTTCCCAATCATGACACGCACAGCACATCCGAGAGAAGAAAATTTCTCAATTTTTACTCATTTCGAAAGCTGCACTTTTTGTTATACGTCTGTGGCGCGAACGTTTGTATTTAGATTCAGATTACACCGGGCGCAAAAAAAAGCAAACTCTTTTCCAAGTCGCGTGCTTGTCGGGGCCGAAGGTCAAAAAACGTGTGCTCGAAGTGAGGTCAGACCTGATGTGCAACATACCCCTCTCTTTCTCTCATTGTCCACCCGGGGTCCGTTTTAAAACCCGTCCCGCTCATTTGCATACGCTTTGTCTTTTGCTCGGCCACGGTCCGTTCGCGAGCCGCTGAGGGACAAGGGCCAGTTTTAAAGGGTCGCTCTCCCCATTTAATTTTTTGCCCCGGTTGCATTTTATATTTTATTTTCATTGCGCTCACACGCTCGGCTTGTCCTGCATTGAAATTAAAAAGATTTTTTTTTATATATATTTGATAAACAACCCTTTGGCGCGCTGGCGAAAGCAGAGGATAATTAGCCGCGAAAATGCGAAGGGCCACCGAGGTTAAACTACTTTTCTGCATGGTGTGATGATTTGATAGGAAAAATAAATAACATTAATTGCCCGCCGTTCACCTCTCCGCGGTTCTGCAACCGATAATTAAATATAAAAGTGATGAAATGTGGGGAAATTTGAAACAAGTCATATAAAAAACTATAGAATTTCGTCTGGAATTCCAACATTAATCCGCGAGATTGAAGATAGCAAAAATAATTAATCCCGGTTGACCAAAACTTCAATTTTTTTTCTGCGCGAGTCTCGCGAATTAATCAGCGATTGGGCGGGATTATGGCGCTAATCGCCTATTAATGACCGCTCCAGTCCAAACAACAACTTATATTTCATGTAGTTTTCTCCGAAAGAGATAAGACGCTGCAAGTCCAGGTCTAATCTCGCCCATAAAATCCATATCTGGTGGTAAAAAAACGACCGACGGCCTCTTTGAAGAAGAAAGTTTGCCGGAAATTTCGTCTCCGAGATATTTATACAGAATTTAATTCACTCTGTGCGGAGAGGGCAGTTTTGGCCGCGCACCTGAAGATGGCAGCAGAGTGCGGGACGTGGGAGTTTGTGCTCACCCTCGCTAAGTGAGTGTAAGGGGGTGAGAAGGGGTTGGCCGCGGGGCGAGAGGGAAGCAAAGCTTGAGGGACTTCTTCTTGCTCGTCGATTATTTTCAGAGAAATTTTTGCAATTATAATTTTTTTTTCACTTGCGGTCAAGTATTTTTTTTTCTTCCACTTTTGAATAATATACATTATGGTTGTTTACACATTCTCTCTCGCACTCTCGACGGGAGTTTGGTCTGCTGTGCATGCTTATTACTCTTTTTTTTCTGCGTGTTGTAAGAAGAAGAAATCCTTAATAAGAGGCATCAACAATGCGTCAGCCATCGCTCATTATGCGCCTTTCGCAATGCGTAATTTTCTCGTTTGACAGTCAATCAAACAAGAGAAAAATTATATTATTTTTCAAGATCAAACCCCGGCACCGGATTATAATAATATGCAAATTCGTCTCTTTGACACCTTGATTGCGGCGGAGGAAAAGAAAAGAAGAAAAAAATTCGAGATGGAAATTTTTGAAGCAACTCTGCATTGATGATAATTATTTATCAAGCAGCTTATACATGCTTGCTTTGCTTCATTCTAAATTAAAAAAACAAAAGCCGTTAGATTGTAAGATGGAAATCCATCTCTCTAATTACGCATTGTCCGATTGGCCGCGTCCTCTGATAATAAAATAAAAGAGTCGAAAACAATTCACCGGCGGAGGTATCACATCATTATTTCGTACGCCGGCCTATTGATCGTTTTCAATTTAGCCGCCGCGCTGACAATTATGCCTTTTGCCAAACAAAGTGTTTTGTTATTTCAAAAGTGGCGGCGGCGTTGATTAGAATGACTCGGCACATCAACTCACACAGCAGCGAGCGCAATCAAAGGTGGCTTTCTTCCCAGCTGGTCAGCGCGAAATAATTAATCGCGCGCAATTTCATCGATCAGTTAAACCTTAATTAAGAACGAAATTACTCTGGAGTTATTTCCTGTTCAAACTGTAAATATATATTTGTGTGTCAAAAAACTAACAAGAGAATTCGGAAAGGTCGAACCGAAGGTTGCCTGGCCAAATATTGACCCAAGGCGATCATTTTTTTTTTCCTTTTCTCAACACAAAAAGAGAGAAACCGTCCTTCACATTATATATATATTTTTCACCAGAAATTACAGCTCGTTTTCTGTTTGCACTCAGCAAATATTGCGTGATTTTTTTCTCTCTTTTTCCCTGCGAAAGGAAACGAAAGGTGTCGTCCAGTAGCCGAAATAATACGTGTGTGCTTTTTAATGACCCTCGCCTTTGAGGTTTTATTGCCTCCGCCGCCTGATTTATTCTTCACAATAGTTTTATTACGTGTCATAATACACACGGAGAAGCCATGCAAAATTCGAAATTGAATTTCTCTTGTATAAAAACGCGTGAGCGTACCAATGCTCAATAACCCTTTTCCTGACAGCTGCCCGAAAAATAATGCTCTCGTTTCGCGAAAGATAAAAATAATAATATAAAACCAACGCCTTTGGGAAGCAACAACTTTTTATTATTTGGTCAGTAATAACATGACATTAAGCGGGGCAATTTAAAAATTATATACTCCCGACGCGCAGTTGCTAATGTACTATTACCGTGCAATGTATAATAAATTCAACTCTGTTTTATTCACGCCACACAAGTAGGAATACAAAATATATACCAAAGTTATGAGCTTCTATATCTCAATTGAAAATCAAACTTGAGGCTAATTGTTTCGCCGCGTGCTTGCATACCTAATTAATTGGTAAAATTTATTATCTCTCCGTCGAACCTGCGCTTTTTTTCTTTGTGACAGATGCCGCTCAACAATGGAAAAATAAAAAGAAAGAATGCTGGTATAAAATTAACATGGTAATTTCCATCTTATCGGCGAGATGTATCTCATAACTCAAAAGAGCACATACGTGTGTGCACTCTCTTTATTTTCGCCGCCTACTCGAGCCGAACAACACCTTTCCAGGCATGCGTCCGAGACCGATTCAAACCTTCGATAATAATGAGAGGGTGAATAAATTACCTTGGGAAATTTTCAATACTTCTGTCGTAAATAAATATAAATGGGAAAGAAGAAGAAGTCCCAGTTTTGGTACCAAAAAGGACCATAAATCTGCATGTTATTTTTTATATCCCCCTGGCCGATGAGGCGGCTTTCGGGTCTTTGAAGTCGAAAAGGTCCAGCATGTCGTCAGGTAATACGCATACAAAACACGCCCAAGCACATCCCTCCATATCAGTAACACAATGAAAAACGCTTGTTTCCAAATTCCAGGCAAAAACTGAGGGTGCCGAAATCGTGTTCGCGACTTTTCTGTTCCCTTCTCTCTTTTCACGCACAAAGGCCGGTCGGTGTTTCGATTTTATTGGAGGGTCAATAAAGCTGCTCTCCTGTTCATTTTAGAAAGCGCGTCCTACCCTTGGGGGTTGCCAGATTTTTCCACCACGAGGCCTCCCACGCCTCCTGCGTGACCTCGAAAGCGAAAAAAAAATCTCGCACCTCCAGGTCATCGATTTTTGACCAGCACGTTTCGTTGTTTGCCCGTTTCATTAGGAAGGCAAACATTTTCGCTCGTAACAATATAAAATAAAACGAGCTATAGAGAGAGACGCGTCGTGGCCACAACAATCAGCCGGTATTCACAGAAAATAAGGTTCAGCCACCTTTGTATAAGCACTTCTCGTTAAATTCCGGTAAAAAATCGATTCTAGAATTTTTGCATTCACGAATACAAACACCGGATGATTTGCACAAAACTGGTCCCGCGAGAAATATGTATTATATAAATTATTCAAATTGGCGAGAAAATTTTGAACCATGACTCATTTTTAATGCAATATCCCTCTTGACCATGCCAAATTTACGTAACGACTTTCGCACACAATATTTTCGCGAAAACGAGCAGGCCGGTGTGAAATTCAAGACGGCGTGCCGAGTCGAGACTTTTGATACAATCGTGACTTGTCCTTTAATGAATTTTATATACATTTATGCCAGCCGTGCAGGATCCATTTCGCATCCTCTTTGCTTGCTCGCTGGCGATGTTAATTGTGGTCATTCGCAGAAAAATATCGAAAATTTAAAGAAGAAGGCCGCGCGGCTGCTTTATATATAATAAAACCAATAAAGGTTGCGAAATAATCCGCGGCGATTCTATCGGCTGTGACAGTGATAAATGGAATTAAATGAAATGGAACTTGTACACGCAGCGGTCATCAAATCACTGTGGCCACGAGGAATTCGCGAGATGTGCTTAATTTCCAGTCCAATTACGCGCG